ATTTCTCATTTTGTCTGTGTATTCTTTTCCAAATTTCATTTAATTTTTTCTGTATATATTCTTTTAGTTCCCTGACTTTCTTTAAGAGGGTTATTCTGAATTATTTTTCAGTCATTTTATAGATCTCCATTTCTTTAGGGTTCATTGTTGCAGCTTTAGTAGGTTTTTCTGGATGTGTCATGATTCCCCAATTCTTCATAATTCTTGTGTCCTGTTATGGTTTGAGCCCTCTAAAATTCATACAGAAGTTGAATTCCCAATACCAATAATATTAAGAGCTGTGGCCTTTGGGAAATGATTAAGTCATGAGGGCTTTGACCTCATGAATGAGATTAGGACCCTTATAAAAGGGCTTGAGGTTGAAGGGAACATTCCCTTGCCTTTCTGCCTTCTGCCATATGAGGAAACAGCAACAGGCACATCTTGGAAACAGACAGCAGCTCTCACCAGAAACAAATGCCAGCATCTTGATCTTAAACTTCACAGTCTGCTAATTTTTGTATTTTTACTAGGGACAGAGTTTCTCCATGTTGGCCAGGCTGGTCCTGAACTCCTGACCTCAAGTGGTCCGCCCCCATCAAGCCTCCCAAAGTACTGGGATCATAGGCATGAGCCACAGTACCAAACTCTATGGTGCTTTTTAAACTGTTTCCAGAGATAGGAGAATCTCACACCACACTATACCAAAATCTGATACAAATGGAAGAAAAAAGAAGGGAAAAAAGAAGAATTTACAGATTAGTCTCAATTATGACAACCAATACAAAAATCCTAAATAAAATATCAGCAGAGAGAAAGCATAAGACACCAAAAGAAAGATACACAAAGATAAATAAAGCCCAAGAATGTAAGCATGGCTCAATACTAGAAAATCTGATGCCAAAAAATACATTTGCCATTGCTCAATCTTCATTTCAGGTTTTTAAAAAAATTAATAAAATAGATACTAGTGGATACTTCCTTAGCATTACAAAAAATTATAATCCTCCACCCCAAACAATCACAACTTAATGTAAAAAGCCAAAAGCATTTCCATTAAAGTCAGAAATAAGAACTACTATTATCATACATGAGAAAGACATAAGAGGTAAAAAACTTGGAAAGGAAAAAGCACCTTGTTATAAATTTATATCAAAAATCAAACCTTCATTATTAGTAACCAGTTAGAAAATTTAATGGAAGATGTGTTAGTCCATTATTGCGTTACTATAAAGAAATACCTGAAGCTGGGAAGTTGTAAAGAAAAGAGGTTTAATTTGTCTCACAGTTCTGCAGGCCGTACAAGAAACCTGGCACCGGCATCTGCATGTCTTTTGGGGAGGCCTCAGGGAGCTTACAATCATGGCTGACGGTGAAGGGGAGCCAGTGGTGTCACATGGTGAGAGCAGAAGCAAGAGAGAGAGAGGGGAGGTGCCATACACTTCCAAACAACTGGATCTGGCATGATCTCAGAGGAAGAACTCACTCACTCATCACCAAGGGATGGTGGGTGCTAAGCCATTCATGAGGGATCTGCCCCCATGATACAATTACCTCTCACCAGGACCTTCCTCCAACACTAGGTATTATATTTCAACACGAGATTTGGAGGGGACAAACATCCAAACCATATCAGAAGAAAAGATGCCTTTTACAATAGAAACAAACAAAATGTTTAGGGACAAATCTAATAATCAATGTTAGGGCCCTATGCTAAAAACTTTAAATTCCTATTAAAAGCCAGAAAAAATATTTCAATAAGTGAAAACCTCCCTTGTTTTTCTTTAGAAGAGTACTCAATAGAGCAGTTTCAATTTCTGAATGTAATCCCTAAATTCAGTGTGTTTCCAATCCAATTACCAAGAGAATTTTGTTTGAAATTTGGTAAGTTAAACCAAATTTTATCTGGTAGAATGAACACATAATTGGAATCAGAAAAAAAAATAAAAAATAAGAATAATGAGCATGACTATGATACTATCAGGTACCAAAACATTGTTATAACCCACACAATAAAATACAAAAACAAAAACCTTGTTTAAAACTACAGATATTTAATACAATATAATTTTAGGGCAGAAATAAACTAAGAGACCAGTGTAAGAAAATAGAGTCCAAAAATGAATTCAAGCACATATGGGAATTGAGTATTTGATTAAAATGGCATCGTTAAATTTATCAGCAAGGATGGGTTATTCCATAAACGGTGTCGAGAAAACTGGTTAGTTATTTGAAGGGGGAAAAACTGGATTTCTTACCTCATTCTTCATGTGCAAATAAATTCCATATGGATCCAAGAGTTAAATATAAAAATGAAACCATTAAAGTTAAATTAAAAGAATGATTACAGAGTAGTTCGCATAACTCTGCAAACAAATTTTAAAACTTGGATAAGAATAAAGGTGAATTTTTACAGTCTTAAGAGTATGATAAAAAACACTAGGAGACATATCCTCCCAGGGGACTGTGGACCGAAAGAAGTCCTGCCAGGTGAATCATGAAGCCTGAGTGGAGGCCAGGAAGGTAGACAGGTGGGAATGTGTTCCAGCACAAGCTGGCCCCTAAAATGCCCTTCCCCATCATCCTTTGTCAAGCAAGATCCACTTTCCCAGCTATTCCCTGAAGCAGAAATGCATGTAGTAAATAGTAAGCACAAATAGTTAGCAAGTACTAATACTGCTAAAAGACAACCTGAAAAGACAAATAAATCAGCTGTTAAAAATGACAAGAAATAAAAAGGTTAGAAAAATGACTAATTGCCCACAAATGTCCATGATACAGGATGAATACCAGGCATAATCAATTAGGAAATTTACAGGTAAAGAGGTTGCATTCACAGTAACAAAATGTATTAACTACTTTGGAATAAATCCAGTGCAGAATGTTTGTGACCCAGGTAGAGAAAGCCATACTACTTTTGATTCCTAAAGGAGACCAAAATAAACAGAGAATTGCATTTTCCTGGCAAGTGGGAACAATTGTGTGAAGATACTGATTCTCCTCACATCCATTTATAGGTCACATGTGGTCCTATTGCAGTGTGTCTGGTTTTGCAGCACTGTTGTACATTTGCAGCACTGTTCCAAGCTGCTTCTGAAATCCCAGGTGGAGGTAGCCTTTGAGTACATCTCTGCTTGTTTAATCCAGTGGTTCTCAAATTTGAGCATGCACCAGAATCACCTGGAGGCTTGTTAGAGCTCAGATTACTGAGCCGTATACCCAGAATTTCTGATTCAGCAGGCCTGAGTAGTACCCAATAATTTGTATTTCCAACAAGTTCCCAGGTACTGTTAATGCTGCTGGTCGGGGAGCTCGACTTAAGAGAACCACCAGATTAGTCAAATGTCAATGTAATGGGGAATGGGTAGAGCCGTCTGGACTCTGAGGCTCTTGGGATCCCCTTTAAATCTAGACAAATTTCCATCTTAATCTTAGTAACTTTCAATGGGAGCCAGACCTGGTAGGTGACTGTCAGTTTTTACTGCCTTCTTTCTATACACTGTCAGTGGGGAAGTATTGGAAGAGCAAGAAGGTAGCAGAGTTGGCTGTGCATGCATGCATGCGTGCGTGCATGCGTGCATGTGTGTGGCCAAGCACTTGAGATTTCAAGGCTCATGGGATTTAGACACAAATTCCTGAAAGTAAGTGCTAGCCTTTATATCCTCTATGTAGCCCAGTAAATCCTAGTCTAAATCTCCAATACCTCTCTTGAAACTTGACAGAATAGTATGCCTGGAAGAATAAATGGCCAAGAATAAGAAACAATTCTGACAGGGGTTAGGGGAAGAGAGGTAGGGAGGATTTATCTGCCTTTTATAAAAACCTGTTTTAAAGCAATAGTAATAAAAACAGCTAAAGTGCAGTCATAAAGAGAAAACTGTATATAAATCATACAAAAAGGACCCAGAATTAGATCAAATTATATGAAAGGTGGCTATAACGTGTGAAGAGCTGAACATCAGTAAGCAATATGGAAGGAAAATTTAATAAATCATGTTGAAATATTGAGGATTGAATTTGAAAAAGGAATTAGATTCACCGAATCGAATTCTGCTCACTGAAATTAAAGATAAATAAAGATGGTAAATCATAGAGAAAAAAAGTTACATAGTACACAATTTACCATTTGCCATACTTCTTTGGAAGTGTAGAAGTGAAAGAGAGCACTTGGGGAGTGACTCCCAGACATCAAAAACGTCAGTATCTTTTCTCATTTCATCCCTGCAGCAGCCCTGTGAAACAGCTATTACTCTCTACTCTTAGATTTGGAAACCGTGGCTTGAGAAGTCAAGTTATTTTCTCAAAGTCAAATAGGGAGCAATCAGAAGAGCCTCAATCTGTCTGACTCTCATCCTGGGCTGCCCAATGACTGCCAACCAGTCGGGGTGCAGGGGAGGTGTAGCTGCCCAGATCAGAAAATGAAGCCCCAGCGCCAGTCCAGTCCTAGAGGGGCCTGGGATGGTGGGAAGAGGAACAAGATAGAACCAAGGTTGAGGGTGAGGCAGCACCCCAGTGGTACGAACTTGGTGAGCCTAGCAAGGGCAAAAGGCAGTAAATGCATTCCAGGGGCTGTGGGGGCACCCAGGGAGCTGCCTGAAGCAGAGGGAGGAGGATGAGCTTCTGGGTCCCAGGGAAGGTTGGATGTTTGATGGAGATACTGGGGGGCACATATGAGCCAGAATTTGTCATCCACCTAACTTGTTCCTTAAACATCCAATCTGATATGGTTTGACTCTGTCCCTACCCAAATCTCATCTTGAATTGTAATTCCCATAATCCCCATGTGTTGTGGGAGGGACCAGGTGGAAATAATTGAATCATGAGGGCGGTTCCCCCATCCTGTTCTCATGATAGTGAGTTAGTTCTCATGAGATCTGATGGTTTTATAAGGGGATTTCCCCCCCCCCTTTTTGCCCAGCACTTCTCCTTGCTGCCACCCTGTGAAGAAGAATGTGTTTACTTCACCTCCCACCACGATTGTAAGTTTCCTGAGGCCTCCCCAGCCTTGTGGAATTGAGAGTCAATTAAGCCTCCTTCCTTTATAAATTACCCAGTCTCGGGTATGTCCTTATAGCAGTGGGAGAATGGACTAATACACAATCCCATCTGCCCTGACATAACCCTGGCACCCCTTTTATAAGAGACCTGTAGAAGGCATGTGGTGTCACAAAAAAGCAGGTTCATTGGGTCAAGGAAATGGTTTTACTTGTGTGTCTGCCACTTTCTAGGTGTATGGCTTTGATCCAATAATCGAATCCCTGTTAGTTTCCTCAGTTGTACATCAGGCTAACAATGCCTACCTCACAGAATTCATGTGGAGATTACATGAGACAAGTCAGGAAAAACACCAAGCTTAATAAATGGTGCAGAGTAGACATTCAATCAATATTTGTTGAATAAGTGAATGCATTATATATATATGTATATATATATTTCACTGTATATATTTACTCATTAGCTCTGGAGGGGTTTATCTAGCTAGCTCTGCTCAGAAGACAAGAATTTCACATTTTTCATCAGTTTTAGCTGAAACATTCCAATTTAGGAAACTGGGTCAAGCCATATCACTGTGCATTAATTATAAGTTGTGATTCCAGCAACCTGTAGAAAGATGAGAAAATGGTCCAGTACCTGCAGTTTTCCACAGCAACAAATGTACCTCTGACAGTTTCCATAATCACCACCCTTTACAATTGCTTGGGCCTGCATTGTTTACAAAGAGCTGCTCACACCCATGATCACGTATAACTCACCTTCAAGGAAGTTGAGTTATTCCATTTTGTAGTTGAAAAAATTAAGGCTCCAAGAGGTGAAAGAACTTGCTTAGATCATGCCTGGTGGTTGGTGGCAGAAAAGCTGGAATCTCTGGGATGTGCCTAAATTGATTATCACTACAGCATGTGCTTGGTTACTTTGTTAAAGGCATAAGGATGAATTCAAGGAGGATCCTGCCCGGTGTTATTTGCCCCTGGCTCCCCTGAACCCCTCAGGTAGAGGTTCTGAGGGTCCTATCTATATATTACAGCCTATCCCTGTTCCAGAGCCAGTTTGGAAGGAGAAAGAGGAGAGAAGCAGCCTCAATCCTCTAGACTTATGGGGTCACAGGAACTATTTCCATAATATCATTGCATTCTGGGACCTGATAGCCCAGCCAGGATGCTGTCATCTACTTGGAAGCCATGGAGATGTGGCCAGATAACTTGGGTCAAGTCTGGCTCAGGGGTGGTGGTGTTTATCTGGAGTGACAAGATGTTACACAGGTGAGGAAAAAAACCTACTATTGATTTTTTTGTGAAGAGACAAAAACTGAGTGGTTATGGCCACGTTGCCGACCTCGAGCAGCAGTTGGCTTCTTCATGTAGAACCTGGGAGTAGGAGACTCAGAATCGAATCTCTTCTCCCTCCCCCTCCTGTTTTCAGCTTTGTGAGAAACCTTATCATCAAATGCAATGGCCAGCAACATTACCAATAAGACAGATCCTCGCTCCATGAACTCCTGTGTGTTCACTGGGAATCTCAACACTCGTGTGGTCAAGAAATCTGACGTGGAGGCAGTCTTTTTGAAGTATGGCAAAATTGTGGGCTGCGCTGTTCATAAGGACTTTGCCTTTGTTCAAAATTTTAATGGGAGAAATGCCCGGGCTGCTGGAGCAGGAGAGGATGGCAGAATGATTGCTGGCCAGGTTTTAGATATTAACCTGGCTGTGGAGCCAAAAGTGAACTGAGGTAAAGCAGGTGTGAAACGATCTGCAGCGGAGATGTATAGCTCCTCTTTTCAGTTGGACTGACTATCAAGGTGATGATGATGATACGATGTACAGTTACTCAGCACATGTGCCACCTCCTCCTCCTATTGCTCGTGTTGTAGTGCCCTGGAAACGTCAGCGTGTATCAGGAAACAACTCACAAAGGGGCAAAAGTGGCTTCAGTTCTGAGAGTGGAGAGCGGGGATCTTCCAAGTCTGGAAAGTTGAAAGGAGATGACCTTTAGGCCATTATGAAGGAGTTGACCCAGATAAAGCAAAACGTGGATTCTCTCCTGGAAAACCTGGAAAAAATGGAAAAGGAGCAGAGCAAACGAGCAGTAGAGATGAGGAATGATGAGTCAGAAGAGGAGCAGAGCAGCAGCTCCGTGAAGAAAGATGAGACTCACGTGAAGCTGGAGTCTGAAGGGGGTGCAGATAACTCTGCTGAGGAGGAGGACGTACTGGGTGATGATGATAATGAGGATGGGGATGACCAGTTGGAGTTGATCAAGGATGATGAAAACGAGGCTGAGGAAGGAGAGGGTGACAGAGACAGCACCAATGGCATGGATGACTCTTAAGCACATAGTGGGGTTTAGAAATCTTATCCCATTATTTCTTTACCTAGACGCTTGTCTAAGATCAAATTTTTCACCAGATCCTCTCCCCTAGTATCTTCAGCACACGCTCACTGTCCTCCCCATCCTTGTCCTTCCCATGTTTATTAATTCATGTTGCCCTGTGCCTAGTCCTGTTTTCACTTCCTTTGGCACTCCTAGTAGTTTTGTTAAGTCTTACCTTGTAATTTTTGCTTTTAATTTTGATACCTTTTTATGACTTAATAAAAAGGATGTATGGTTTTTATCAATTGTCTCCAAAATAATCTCTTGTTATGCAGGGAGGACAGTTCTTTTCATTCATACATAATAAATTCAATAGTTGCTTCCCGAACTGCAAAGACAATCTTATTTAGTTGAGTAGCTCCTAAAAGAAGCTTTGATTAGAAGTATGTGTGTTACACCCCCACATTAATGTGCTGTGTGGGGCAGTTCAACACAAATGTAACAATGTATTTTTGCGAATGAGAGTTGGCATGTCAAATGCATCGTCTAGAAAAATAATTGGTGTTATAGTCTTAAGATTTGTTTTCTAAAGTTGATACTGTGTGTTATTTTTGTGAACAGCCTGATGTTTGGGATCTTTTTTTCCTCAAAATAAATAGATCCTTATTAAACTAGGAATTTGGAGGGAAAAAAACCCTGTTTTTTTAAATTTTTGTATTGTATTATTGTTTTCTTCAAGCTCTTTGTTTTACAGAGTCCTCCACAAAACCCCTAGAATGTACTAGATATATTTTTCTTGAAGTCATAATCATTATGCATACAAACATAACGCTACTCAAATTCTATTTCATTGAGATGCATGTTGCATTGAGGAGTCAAATAACTTGACAGAGAGTGGAGATTGTTTTTCAAAATGGCTTTTACATCCTAATGAAAGTTTGGGAAGTATATCCTCTCTGCCTTTTCATCAGTGCTTTGTGGTCCAGCTGGCACCCTTTTTGAAGTTTTTGTTGTGTGCTAAATTGTTTTGTCCTTAAATAGGAGAGGCTCAAAAACATTAAGATTTCAGGAAAATTGCAACAGCTGGAGAATGGAACTCCTACTTTCTTCTGTTTTGTCTTTTTAATTACTACTTATAGCCCCAGTTACCTTCTGAACTCTGAAGTGTTACCTCAATGTTACTGAAAACAAGTAAACTTTTATTTCCTGATATTCCATAGTCTGCCTTCCCAGGTGACTGAAAACATAGAGAATGTCACACATTTATTTTACCCTAAATAATCTTTTACTCATATTAGCTAATCTTTGTGTTTTCTCTCAACTTTATTGATTGCAGTGATTGCATTTTTAGCATCCAGTCTTCTTAAGATGAATATATTAAGCAGCTGCCAATGTTGTAATACCTCATCCTTGAAAGGCCTAGTTCATTTGTGTTTTTACTTCAGTTTTTCCAGCACAGCAGAAAATGACATTTATAATTTTTGTGCACACAAACCGTGGATTCCCCTATAAAGTTTCTATTGTTTCATAGCATGCAGCACTGGCATTTTTTCATCCTACTGCATTACGGGCAAAATTCATGTCTTATTTATAAGGATTTTATAGATCATTTTATGTAACAGGTGACAAAAGCAGAATAGAAGAGGCTGAACTATGGACTACCTTTGGAGCCAAGATACATGATATAAAGGCACTTTCTTTTGTATGTTAATCGGTCAAAAATACTACCCACTTGATGTTTTCTGATCTGATGTGGGGAATATGGGCGAGGAGAGAAGCTCATGTTACACAGACTTTTAGTAAGTAACCCATGACTAGAAAATAAACGGGATACTTAAGAAAAAGAAAAACAAAAAAAACCCTACTGTTTGTTCAGTGCCCCCTATGTGCTGTCCCTACACTATCCATAATCCCCACAGCATCTTGTGATACTATTACTATTCTTTGTACTGATGATGGAACAGAAGATTGGAGAGTGACATCTTACACAGCATCTCAAAGCTGGCAGTGGTCCAACGGTTCCAGTCCAGGTCTGTGTACTATGATCTCACACTTTTCTCATCAAGGGGACTAAGGGGCTCCTGTAACAAGACTAACTCTAGTATCCTCTATCTTTCTGGGGAGAGCTCAGTCACAGACTTTGATCACTACTGCTACTGGGAAGGTAGGAATTAAGCACAATGCTCTGTTTGGATCCAGTAACTGAATTATACTCAACTATTGGATTCCCACAGAGTGTCTGTGCAGGTGGAACAGGGCCTTCCTCCCCTACCCTATGCATGTGCAGAAGGAGAGGCCTGACAGGGGGAACCAGGCTGGAGTTTGGAACACCAGTAGCTGTAAAGACCACCTGGGGACTCTGCATGAGACTCAGCATCTGCTGCCTCTGGGGCCAGGGGTTATGGTCTTCTTCTTCCCTAAAGGCTGCCACACTAACCTGGCTTACTCCTTCCTCTTCCTCCCTGGGGGAAGGGAGGATCTGATAAAACTGATGAGATTGAAAAAAGAGCCTGAAGTTGGACCCATCAGCCCCTCCCAAGTGCTTTCCCCTTTGGCCCTCATGCATGTGAGCACAAGTTTTCCTCCTGTCCTCTGTCTCTCTGATGCTGTGGCCTGTTAGGGACAAGCCTGTGGTTTTGGGTGGGTAAACCCAATTCAGGGAAATGTATTGGGGAACCCAATTGCAGCTGCAGATCCAAGGTGCCTTTTCCAGTTTAGCTTTACCTGCTATGAAGTGGACTCTGGTGACCGCTGTTTCACATTGCTTGGAGCCCACTGTGGAAAGAGGATGGATAGACTTCCATCTCAGTGGTTGCCCTGAAATGCCAATGTGGGGAATCTGGGCGAGGAGAGAAGTAACCAGAGGGGGCATACCGGCATGCCTTCACCGTGTAGTTGTTTCTGCTGTCCCAAGCTGGATGGACACTCCTGAGATACGTTGCTACTTGCTCCCCTGCTCCCCATGCCCTCAATGTTTTATAGATCCCAGGGCACTTGGCACACCTGGATTGAGGCCCCAACCTACCTGTCCAAGCTCCTCTCCCCCATGCTCTGACCTGCCTAGTCAGCTCTAGCACAACACCCTGAATATCCCACTCAGTTCCAACATCTGTGGCACCCTTCTGCTGGCAATGCTGAGGGTTAAGTTGGAGAACCTGGCAAGAACCTTAGAGGCCATGATGCTCAACTCTCCATCCAGAGAAGGGGCTATCTGGACTTGGCTTTCTTGTCTTGCTTCTTGGAGCAACCACTCCTGGGACTTGGTATTTCTGGTTCTTCTAAAACATTTCTTTAGACTAGAAATCTGCCTCCTTGCTACTTATGTCTGGTGCAGGTGCTGTGGGTGCCACCTCCACACATTCCCGGCAGTCCTCCCCAGGTACTTGTTCCCTCTCTGGTTCCCTGTGCCATAGTAATTAGATGGTGTTTCATCATTCCATGACATGAAACAAGTGTTGCTAACTTTTTCCTTCCCTCTCTTGACACCTGCCTTAACCTCTCAAGTAGTTCAGAACTCCTTGAGGCTGGGGCTATGCTCCAGCCATCTCTTTACTCCTCCCACTTAGCACAGAGGAGGTTTCAGGAAAGCCTACACAATTGTCTGGGCCCAACATCTTGCCCATCTCCCAACATTTCAACATGGAACTGAAGGGGTGGCTTGTGCAAATGGCCCCATTTGCTCATTGCCCACTGAGTATCCATGGGTCAACCTGGAACTTAAGTTGCTCACCACCTAAAGGAGGAAACTGACATGCAAGCAGAAAATCAAAATACAGGGCAACCTCACTAGAAAGGAGGCCTATAGAGAATGCTGCAGGAACATAGGAAGGAACAATCAGTAGACCAGTGATAGGGTGAGCTGGGCCCAGAAAAACTGAGCCTGGAAGGAGGGGCAGGAGTAGCTCATTGACATGGCCTCAAACGTGGCCTTTTATCTCCAATCGTTAGACAGCTACAGAGGTACATGGACAGTTTTGAAAGAAGGTCATCATCATATGACTATAAACTACTGTTCCATACTTAGGGTGACCAGCTTGTCCTGGTTCACCCAGGACTTTTCTGATTTTAGCACCAAGTCCCTTCAATCCCAAGCAGATCGGGGTGGATGGTCACTTAGACCTAAGTCTGGAATGGTAGTATGAGTTATTATATGCTATAAATCCTTTCATTATCTTCAGACCGGCACAATTAAATTGTATCATAATGTTTTTGTGCCAATAGCATTAGTGGGTTAGTGGCAAACATTTAAAATTTGTTGTCCCCTCTCTTTTTTTTTGAGACAGAATCTCTCTCTGTCACCCATGCAGCGGCATGATCTCGGCTCACTGCAACCTCCACCTCCGGGATTCAAGTGATTCTTGTGCCTCAGCCTCCCAGGTAGTTGGGACTATATGTGCACCACCATGCCTGACTAATTTTTGTATTTTTAGTAGAGACAGGGTTTCACCATGTTGGTTAGGCTGGTCTTGAACTGCTGGCTTCAAGTGATCCACCCACCTTGGCCTCTCAAAGTGTTTGGGATTATAGGTATAAGCCACTGTGCCTGGCCCCTGCTGCCATTTTTGAAAACTTGTATGAGGATTTCTTTATATTTTAAAAGTACTGAATGCTTCAGTTTTCGAGAGGCTCTGGCTATGGGCAGAGGGTGAGGTGAGAGATGGCAGGGTGTATTTGGGGGCCTGCAAAGAGTGGGGATATTGAGGCCCAGGGAACATGCCTTTGTGCAGGAAGGGTTGTGGAGGGGACCCTGAAGGGGTCAGCAGTGGTCACAGGGCTCCATGGACCAGGCCAGTGATTCCATCTCATAGCCTTAGAAAGTCAAAAAAGATGTCATGCAGAAAAGTGCCATGGTGGTACCAGAGATTCCATGCGGATGCAATTTTGGAGAACTGATTAGGGTAGGGGGTGTAGAGGCCAAGATCAGAGGCAGGGAACCATTCTGGGGGCTGCCGTATCATGCAGGTACAGTTCTACAGATATGGAGAGAAAGGCACTTTTAGTAGGGGAAAATAGATAGGATTTGGTGATTGGTTCTTTGGTTGAGGAGGTGACTCACTTGGGCTTTGGGTGGTGAGGCATTGTCAACTACCAAGACAGGAATTTCATCAGGAAAACAGCTTCAGAGGGAGATGCTGCAATTGATTTTGGATGTACTGTTTGGGCCCTGGGACCACCAAAGATTTAAATGTCTGGAACTTAGGAGAGAAACATGGGCTGGAGATAAATATTTGGGTGTCATCCACCTTCCAAGTCCAAGGCAATTGAAATGGACAAGTGACAAATGGAGGATAGGAATGAAAATGTTAAGAGGCTTCAGTCCAAAGAGTGAGGGAAGGGTTGATGGTTGAACTGGCCTGACTAGTTTAGTGGCTTTTGCTAGTGTCTTCAAGGTACATGTGCAATGTCCAATCCTCAGGAATCATCTGGAAACTCTGTCCTTTCTTGCATGACCTAGATATGACACTAATAATACCCGTTGACTTCTCAGGATTGTGAATGCACAGGGCTTATTATGCAAATAACCTGTTCTGTAGCACAGACAGGGCAGGCAGATCATTCCCACATTCCTGTCCTCTCCTAGTATTCTGGAATTGTCTGCAGCTGCCAACGCATAGCCCTTGTCTTCCTGGAGGTATGTGAAAGCTTGTATGTGAGCATCTCTTTAAAACAATGATCAGAATTGTCTTAAAACCCTTCTGGTTGTGAGAATGTTTAATCAAGGTCAATTTCTATATCCAGATAGAAAAAGCTGGTAAGAAGAGCAATGTCACTGGGACTCAGGAGACTCAGGACCAAGCTTCCTTTGAATTCCTGTAAAATGAGGGTGTTGAGCTAGCTAAGCCATCAAGACCCAGTTCAGACATGCTAAGTATGTGATCCTAGTCAACAAAAACAGACCATGGCTAGTCAGTGCATGAAGCAGAAATATTAAAATGTATTTCAAAACAGGGAGATAAAATGGTAATTTTACCATCTTACTTATTCACTCAATAAATATATGTGGAATACTCACTAAAGGTCAGACATACTGCTGGCTATGGGTGGAGCACTGTGGAGCAAACACAGACTCTGCTGGTCTCTCTTAAGAGTCCAGTGGGAGGAACCCACTGAAGCAGCAGCTACAGGTGTGAGAGAGGCCGAGGGAGAGGGAGGCCGGCGAGGAGGCTGCTGCAGTAGTCCTGGTTCCCTAAGCTTGCTCACAACCTTCCCGCAGGCTGGGCCTAGCCCATCTCCACTTCCATAAGAAAATCTATAATCCCAGCTATTGGGAGGCCGAGGCGGGCAGATCACTTGAGGTCAGAAGTTTGAAACCAGCCTGGCCAACAGGGTGAAGCCCCATCTCTACTAAAAATACAAAAGGTAGCTGGGCATGGTGGCGGGTGCTTGTAATACCAGCTACTGGGGAGGCTGAGGCAGGAGAATCACTTGGACCCAGGAAATGGAGGCTGCAGTGAGCCAAGATCGCACTGCTGCACTCCAGCCTGGGCGAAATAGCAAGACTCCATCTCAGAAAAAAAAAAAAAGAAAGGAAATCTGCACCCACCCGCTCTGTAAGGAGGACTCCACCCTGGGATGGAATGCGGCCTGCAGCTCATCATTCCAGACTGCCGAGTGTCAGTGCACATTGACTCCTCATCTTGTGACTGAACTATTTTTAACTGACTGTCGCCATGGCAGCGTGAGAACCACTGGGAAAGATGTGGCCTTTCTGACAGCATTCAAGATGCTGGCTGCCCTCTTATCTCACTGAATCCCCTGTGCACCAGGGCCAAAATAATCTGTATTAAATCCCCACCTTCTATTGACACAGACGGAGTTAGGACTTCTCTATGTGCTTTCTCATCTGCAAAGTAGGAAAGTAGGGCTTTTAATTAAAACACACACACACACACTCACACGCACACACACACACACAAAACACAAAAACAACTCCTTTTGTGAGTCTGCTGTGGGGAGCCAAACTAGGTTATTAAGCAACAGGAAAGCATTCCGCATGTCCCAACATTAGTTTCTGTTATCAATGTCTTAGCTCACATGGCAACACCAATCCCACAGCCCACCTCTGCCCTTCTCCACCTCCAGTTGTCACTGATTCCTATTAGCATTCCTTGGATGTCTACAAAGTCTGAAGATATAGACAGTATCATTTACTTTTTTACAGATTACTGATGTTCTTGATGGTATTACCCACATGTGCACGTTTCCAGGAACCCCCCCCCGCCTCAAGCACTAGCACTGGCTGCCCCTAGGAGGTGGGTGCTGACATGTACAGGAGCTCTCTCGGATTTCTTAACACATGGCTGTTACATCCCGCATCCCTGCCTTGCCTTTACATCCTTTAGGGTGGGGACTGTGTGTCCTTTCCCCTTTGTACCCCAGCATCTGGTACCGGGTCCTGAGGATAGATAGACACTTGGTTAATATCTGTTGAATGAAGGAGGAATGAATACAAGGCCAATGAAGAGTGTAAGTCAATGAGACTATCTCAGAGGGTTGGAAAGAGTGAGGCTTCATGAATGAGGATGGACTTGAGTCAAGGCATGGGTGGCTGGAGAAGGAAGTAATGCTTCTAAAGCACCTCCTATTTAATCCTCACATTGTCCCTGCTTCATGGAAGGGGATGCTGAGACACAGAGTGGATGAGCGAGGGGCCCTACACCAGCTGATTGGTGAGTGGCTGGGATGAGATGCACACACCTGGAGGGCTGGTTCGGAAGCATTGGTTCTTTCCTCTCTGCTAGGCCCTCTGGGAAGAGGAACAGAGTCTGGGGTGTGTTTCCATTGAAGAAGTGGCCTGGTGAATGTAGTCTTGAGGGCAGGAACCCTTCCTGCTCACAGTATCACAAGTTGGCCTGGAAACCCCTGGCATGGGCGCAAAATTGTGGGTGTGCGTGCAGGGATTTGAAGCTTCCAAGGGAGGAGATGTACCACATTGCAACTTCTGCCAGATTCTCTAAAGAGTCCTCGGGCCTAGGGATGCTCCCGCACTGTGTGGGCAGGACCTCATGGGAAACCTATTAGAGAGGCCAGAGCAGAACAAGGAACAGAAAGGAGTGACGTGAACGTGCCCCGGCTCTTGCGTCCATCCGCACACCCACCCTGTGTGCAGGACATCCCTGCCCTGTGCCTCCAGTTTTTGCTTTTCTCATCTCCCTCACCCTTCACACTGAACTTTCTTTCCTTCAGACCTGGAACTCAACCCACCTCCTTTGGGTCACAGTCCCCATCCTGTGGTGCATGTGTCTGTGTGGATTGGCTTCTTCTACTCTCAGAAGACAAGCAAAATTTTCTTGTTTTCAATTTTTTTTTTGGTGTGGAATTATTCTCTTAGATGCTTTTATTAAGAAAAAAAGTATTTGAGCAGCAGCAGAAGCTTACAGAATTCAGTTGCTGTAAGTAGCTCATCCCAAACTTCACAGCTTAAAATAATAATGGCCGCTGAGATGATAGATGAGAAATGGAGGAAGCACTGTCTGGACGTGGCCTCTCTCCCACGGTGGCACAAAGAGAATGCAGCAGACAGAGGAGGAAGTGTGGCAGAGTGTCTGCCACCAGGGAGAAGTTGCACCTGTCTTAGTAGGTAGTGATGTCTTCCTGAGGAAAAGCTGCCACCAAGGGGAGGGAATGGGGCCTTCTGAGATGGAGTCAGTGGAATGACTGCTTGCAAGGGTGTCATGGAGAACCTGTTCACCTGCAAGCCTGACCATGGGGCCTGAGCCTTGGAGAGGGGCCCGGGGAGGCCTTTGACCTGGTCTTGGTTCTGCAGAGAGCCAGGAAAGCGCACTTTCAACCAAGGGAAGGAGCACATTCAGAGGCAACGCAGCTTAATGATTTCTTCCTGGGGAGGCCATGGGGACCAGTCTTACTGGAGAGGCTAAGATCCTGTGTGATGGTCTCCTCAGGCCAGAGGAGTTTTACTGGAGGCAGGAGACAGCAATCCTCAGGGAAAATGCTCCTGGCTTTTGCAGATGCTAAGCAGTAGGTCCAACTTTCAGGAAAACCAAAGAGACATCCTGTTGGTCCTGTCTGTGCTGCTGAAAGACACGGGCTCATCCCTTCAGGCTTTGACCTCCCTTCCCTGCAAGCTTTCACAAAAGAAAGGACTTGAACAAAGGGATCTGGTCCCTGCCTTCATCCTAGTCTCCTCCCCAGGCTTGTTTTTAAAAATAACTTCTCTTTTTCTTCTACCACAGTAATTTACCCTTTGTAGGAAATACAGAAATATAGAAAAGTGCAAAGAAAGTGAAAACCAGCTATAATCCAATTACCCAGAAATAACCACTCTTCATATTTTGGCATCTAGTCTTTTTTCCA